CAGGACATCTTTGCAATGCATGTATTGTGAGGGACCAGCAGGCCCGCCGCAGGCGCGAGCGCGACGCGTTTGTTGGGTAGCCAAACAGCGCCCGCGCCAAATCCGTCGAGCCGGCCAGCAGGCGGAGGTGATTTCCCCCTTGAGATGATTAGTCGTCAGGTCCGATCATGATCATCAATCACTCATCACATCAGTCCCAGGGTCTCAGACAGGCGGTTTTCCCATCAAGTACTTTCGTCCTTTACCGTGTCCCGTGACTCAAACGCGTGAAGAGGCATGAGCATGAAACAGGCAAATGCAATGACATTTGACAAATGTATTCTACCGAAACAAATGGGACGATCGTTCGCACGGAACGTTTCCTGTTTCTGGAAGCTTTCGGACCAAAATTGCGCCCAGCCCTGACGGTGGGGCTCATAGTGTTCTGCACTGTAGTAATAGTACGAAGAACGGACAAGCAAGCAACAAGGCGCCAATTGGCAAAAAATAAGTAATACGTAGCATCCAGCGTCCATTAAAACACGGTACGGTTTGAATACGGTATTCAGGTGTCTATATCTCCGCCCCGACCAATCTATGCACAAGAATTTTTCCACCTCCATCCATCCATCGCCCCTCCCCCTCGTACTCCCCCACCCACACGCACACCCGCCGGGCGCCTACTCGACCAACGAGGGCTCCTTGGCAGGCTTCATCTGCACGCCACCATGCTTCGGCACGCCCTCGACGCGATGGAACGCATTCAAGTTCTTATGCAACGTAATCTGGAACACCCTCGCGCCTCCCTGCCTCGAAATAATCGTCGAATACGCAAGGAAGAACGCCCAGATCCTAAACCACCTATCCCCATACTTCTTCTCGATCGCCTCCTTATTGCTGAGCCAGTTCTTATACCAGTGGAAGATGGTGGCGGAGTAATGCACGCCGAGGACATCGACGGAGCGGATCTCGAACCCTGCGCCCTCGAGCTTGTTGATGACCCACCCGAGGGAGCACGAGGCGTCCGCGCCGGGGAAGACGTACTTGTTCATGAACAGCCCCCAGATGAGGTCCTCGAACTGCCACGCGGGGCGGATACCAGCGACCTGGAACACAAACAAGCCATCGTCGTCGAGGAGGTCGTACACCTGCTGCAAGAACGCAGAATACCGCCGGATGCCGACGTGTTCCGCCATTTCGAGCGAGACGATCTTGGTGTACCGCCCGGGGGGGAGGTCGCGGAAGTCCGAGCAGATGATGCGCGCTTTGTCGGAGGAGACGCCGTTCTTCTTGATGCGTTCGGTGCCGAAGGCAGCTTGGTTAAGGCTGAGCGTGCATCCCGTCGCGTCGCAGTCGTAGTTCTTCGCGGCGTAGGTGACGAGTGTGCCCCAGCCGCAGCCAATGTCCAGCAGTCTGCGGGGTGGGTGGGTGAGTGAGTTGAGTTAGTAGTAGAGAAAGGTGTTAGGGGTATACGCACTTGTCCGTGGGCTTGAGGTCGAGCTTCTCGCATACGATCGCGAGCTTGTTGTCCTGGAGGGTCTCGAGGGACTGCTCGACGGTGTTGTCCGTGATCATGCCCGAAGTATAAATCATCCTCGGGCCAAGGAACCATTCGTAAAAGTCATCTCCACCTAAAAAGCCCCCGTAAGTATAAATATAAAGTACGCCACACGTAACGAGGGCGGGACGCGGGACGGGACGCAGACGTACGGTCATAATGCCCACGGACCTGCTCCAAGTCCTGTTCTGCCGTATGTTGAACAACCTCGGGAATCAAAGTCATAAAGACGTATTTGAACAACTCGGGTGTGAAGTTGAATCGAGCCCAGTCATGTCTCTGTTCCATAATATCCAAAACGTCACCTAACAAAGGCAAGTTCACAAGCTACGTGTCAGCTGGGGACGCGTGAAAAAGCGTGTTAAAAAGCGCACCGTTAAAGTCAATCTTTCCCTCGAAGTAAGCGTCGTGGAAAACCTGCATGGGGATCTTGATTTTGCCGTTATACTTTTGCTTGAGGTCTACATCCTTGATAGTGATGTAGGTCTCGATGTCATTGCCGGGGAGAACGACCTTTTGGTTCCTGCGGGGGCCGTACATACTGATGACGGTCCAGTAGCCGACGGCAGTAGGAACAGCAGTGATGACGAGGAGGGAGAGGTAGGTGTAGAAACCGCCACGGTTTACGAGGGGAAGGAAAGACTTGAGGACATAAGGAACGACGACGATGGAAACAGCGAGATGGAGGTTGTTGAAAGCGCCATTGCCCTCTGCGAGACCCACAAGGGGGGCATTCTTAATGGCGGGGTAGTTTGTAGTCCTGACAGACATGGTAGGACGTGAGAAGTGTTTGTGACGCGACGTGGATTTTTGACGTGTCTGTGTGTTTGTGCGTGCTTGTTCTCAGTAGACCAGTTGCCACCATGTCCCATTCGCCTCCACCCCTGCGTCATCCAGTGCCCACTCACCCTGCTTACATCCCAGAACCACCGTCTACGCCAGGATCACCTGATGGCTACCAGCGCTTCTCGTCTGCACAGGGCCAGCCACCGCCAGGCCCATACCACGTCCCCGCATACACTTCTCCCTTTCAGCACTCCCAGCCACAGCCACAGCCCTACCAACAACAGCCCCAGCAACAACACGCGTCCCACGCGCCATTCCCCGTCCCAAGCTGGCCCATTGACCAATCCACCGCACAGCTAGGCATGCAGCTCGGCTCGTCCGCCGTCGCAGCAGGCCAAGACTACGTCCAGCGCAACTTCAGCACCATCTTCCCCTCCACATCCCTCAAATCCCACTTCAACGTCTCCAACTCGTACGTCATCAACAAAATACGCCTCATCCTCTTTCCCTGGTCCCAAAAGCCCGCCGCGTGGCGCCGCCGCCTCATCCGCTCCGAGCAGGGACAGGGCGCGCCAGCGGAGTGGGCCACCCCCAGGGAGGACATCAACAGCCCGGACTTGTACATCCCCACTATGGCGCTGGTCACGTATATACTGACATGCGCACTCCACGCGGGGCTCAGCAAGCAGTTTCATACCAAAATCCTCGGCGAGGCCCTCTCGCGTGGCCTGGCTGTGCTCATCCTCGACCTTGGGTTCGTGAAACTGGGATGCTACTTCCTCAACGTGAACGAATCGGGCCCGGTGCTCGACCTCGTCGCGTACGGGGGGTACAAATTCGTCGGGTGCGTGCTGCGCATCACCCTCACCCAGCTTACCAACTAACCACAAATCCACACAGCGTCCTATTCACTCTAATCCCCACATTCCTCCTCAGCACGCCCCTCCTCAACACGGCGCTCTTCATCTACGCCTTCCTCGCCAACGCGTTCTTCCTCGTACGTCCCCCTCCCTTCCCTCCTTCCCTTCCCTTCATGTCCCACTAACCCCTCCCCGCACACACAGCTCCGCTCCCTCCGCTCCGTCGTCCTCCCAGACCCCACCGCCCAGCTCGCGTCCTCGTCAAACCCCACCAGCACCGCGACCCTCACCCCCTCCGCCCGCCGCAGGCGCATCATCTTCCTCTTCCTCGAGGCTATATCCCAGGTCCTCTACATGGGCGTGTTGGTGCGGATTTAGCGTCACGCGCGTGCGGTACAGCGTGCGGTACAGCGTGCGGTACAGTAGAATGTGTTAGGGTAGATTAGAATATGTAGCGATGGTAATATGAGTGCTCGTTACTCGGCGGGGATGCAAATACATTTCAAGTGTATATACCGTCCTCCACATCACCTCAACGTCATACTCTGAGATCACAGAAAACCTAGAGACGACAAGGGTCGATGGCGTAGTTGGTTATCGCATCTGTCTAACACACAGAAGGTCCTCAGTTCGAGCCTGGGTCGACTCATCGCCAAGATAACGATGTGATACTTTTTTTTTCCCCTCCGTTTTGACAGACATCATGATAGCTTCAAGGCTCAAGCGGGCCTACCCTTAGCCCTTGGATACCCCCCGTGGGCCGTCCTCAGATCAGTCTCAAGCCCCCGACCCCACTCACCCGCCCCCACCACCCACCAAGCCAGCATGCGCATACCCTACGCACTCTCCACCCCCGCACCGAGTCGATAGCGTAGCCGGTTATCGCGCCTGTCCCAAATATGATCAATGTCATAATCGATGGTACAGGCAGGAGACCCCCAGTTCGAGCCTGGGTCGACTCGCTGTATATCGTTTCTACATCGGCTTTTGTTCCGAGCCACGGTTTCTCTGTTTCGCGATTTGCTGGCGGTGCTAGGCTGGTGCTAGGAGCTACTAGTACTGACTCCTGAGTCCTGAGTATTCTACGCATCGTGTAAGTATCACTGGCCATGGCAGCAAGCGACGGTCCTGCGGTGCCCTACTTGCCAACCCATCATGAGTCGATATCCACCACCCACGGCCACCTTCCAACAAGTTCCAAGTCAATTATCATCGATCATCATCGAACTGACTGTTCCTCCGCGCTCGCATGCTCCCCTAACCAGTTGATAGCATAGCCGGCAACGCACCTGTCCCAACTTATCCCTTTTCCCTTTGGAAGGAGTATGTATGACTCGCTTCTTGTGTTATTGATGTGAATTTTGTTTTTAGTAGTGTTCAAGCTCAGGCGCTCAAGTCCTAGGGCCGCTACCCAAGACTCGAAGACTCTAGCCACCCACGTATCCGTATCCATCGACTCGGACAAATTACTCGCTAACACCCACGCTCGCACGCTCCCCCCAACGAGTCGATGGCGTAGCCGGCAACGCACCTGTCCCAAATCTGCACCTTATGTCGTTATAGGATGAATATACAGTAGACAGGAGACCCCCAGTTCGATCCTGGGTCGACTCGCTCCGACTCCGGGCGAGGTTGACATAACTTTTTGTTTTCCTGGCGTTTGTAGCGATAGCCTGAGGGGAGGTGCTGGGAGCTGCCGAGGGGTCGACGCCGCGCGTCGCCCGAGCCAGAGCCTGGTCCTAACCCCAGTGCTTCGGGAAGCATCAGCTAGTACCATCTACCATCCACCTTCCAAGTCCTCCTCCAAATCCAATTACTCGTCAACCCCCGCGCTCGCGCGCACCCACCAACGAGTCGATAGCGTAGCCGGCAACGCACCTGTCCCACATGATGCATAGTGTCTTGATGATTTACGGTATACAGGAGGACCCCAGTTCGACCCTGGGTCGACTCATTATCCAGCTAAATATTGGTAAAACGTTTTTGAGTTGGGCGCCGGCCTCAGGCGTTCTTGCGCCTCACTTTCGAGTTGTCGAGTCCCTTTTCGCTTTCGAGTTACGATTGTGCAGCGTGCTAACGTTTCTATAGGTCTTCCTCGCGTGCGCTGTGCCGGATCTGAGCGAGCGCCATGGTGACTCAAGCGCGTCTCAAGCACAGGAGCAGCCTACATCCCTCCGCCACCGTTGCATCCTACTAAATCAAAAGAGGAACCAACGCCACTCCACCCCGATCAAAGCTGACCGATCGATCTCTCGCATATCAGAGCGGGCGCCTATCTCATACATACACTCCTCACCTGCTCCTCACTATCCGCAACGTGAATAAGTATGCACGAGGATCTCAGCTCGTCTGATTCGACCTATAGTATTCGTGTTGCCCTTCTAATCAATTCACTCTGACTACTTACTCTTATGGTACCAAACTGTGTACGCCACCCACTGGATCGCCCTAAGATTGTGAACAAGAGTGATGTATACAAGTCGAGCCAGCGCTTTTGAAGCTTCAAGTCATTCATGATGAGGGAGATATGTCACCTTGTAATGCACCAACGCAATTGGATCCTATTCTGGCCCAAAATAGAGGCGCTTGGTCGAACCTGTTTAATGTACATGTCCATTTGGTCGCCAAAATAAGAATCAGGAGCAACAAAACAAGATAGATTGGAAATTTAACATAATGGGGGAAAGGAAGCGGTTACTGATAGTAGCGCCAAGTCCATCAGTGCACACCCTTTTTCCAAATTAAGTAAAAAAAAAATTTTTTTGATCAAATTGACGCCCAGTGATTGCAGGACATGGCAAAAAGGTGTACATGACGCAATGATCAACTTTATCCAACACAGCTTGAGGCGCGGACGAGCTGGTGATCACGAAACGCAGTGGATTCCGCGGGGTATTGGCGATGCGCAACACCTCAGTGAGAACCTCTCGCTGGTCCTCCTCGTCTTCGCACTCGTCCAACGCGTCGATAACGATGAGAAACGGACCCTTCGCAGTAACTCCTTTCAAAGGCCGAAGGATGAGTCGCTCCACCTGTAAGGCGAGAGGTCTGTTCATGACGTAGGGATCTTCCTCCATTGCCTCGATAAGTCCAGAATAAAAGCATGGTATGGATAGCGAGAGTTGGAATGCGATAGTGGGGATTAGATGGTTAATGGAACCGCATCTTGGCCGCGCTGGGTTGAAGAAAAAACTTGCACCGAGCTCGCCATGTTTGGCGCATTGCCTCGAGAGGTGTTGTGTGATAGAGGAAGTGAATGCGGGAGACTGTCCGTGAAGCCAGAGAACGGGCTTTCTCCCGCCTTGGGAGTACATCCATTTCTCAAAAACATCCAAAGCGATAGTGGTCTGTGGTCCGCAAGGACATTCCTCGTATTGCTGCGAGTCATATGGTGCACCGGAAGCGTATGCGTGCATTAAAAGTAGGAATGCTGGAAGACAGAGTGGATGAGTTGAGTGCGCGATTTAACGATGAGGGAGTGAGAGAAGCTGGAGAGCTTACCACTGGAATCTCCAGAACCAGAGTTCTCAATGTGAGTGCACATTGTAAAATTTCCGCCATTAATGGTGAAGTTACGACACCTGTTGAACATGGTGATGATGTTGATAACAAGCGATGTAGCAAAGAAAAACGTAGAGGCAAGCAGAGAGGGGCGACAGAGCAGTCCTCGAGCGAGTCACGGAGCGCCCGGATGAGCGCCGTGTGGTGTGCATCGCGAAAGCTCAGTGATCTGGACGTTTAACTGCATGGGATTACCTTTATATATAGACAAAATCGGTGCTATGATCCTGAACACTGTGTTCTATTGTGTGCAGCGAACTTTGGTGTCCTTTCGATGCACGTCTTTTAGCAAGATCATTCGTATGTTGAGGCTCTATAGACAGCTTGAGCCATCGCCTGAAAGATTTGAAGAATGTGATCCACAGAGCCTCAGAGATGCAAAGAGTGGAAAAACAGGACAGGCAACCATTCTTCGGATTAGCTGCAGGACGTGTCTGTGAATTGTTGGACGAGGACAAAGATAACGCTCGTGTGACTCCCGTCACGGTGACGGCCTTGAATTCCGCCACATCTCGTCTTGGTCTTTTCAACGATGTCCACCGTGCATCTCGAACAGAGCCAAGCCAATGTAACCAAATAACTATCTGTAGACCACTACTCTCGAACTCCTCCTTATCCCACTCTCAAACTCTTCTTCCCCGGCTCCAAGTAATCTGACTGTGTACTCGAAGTAAAATTGTGAGAGGCCCATTCTAATGATTACTCATGCAGAATGGTGTCGGGTGATGGCCTTGGTGAGCACGTTCTGTTCCTCACGAAAACTAACCAATGAATGAACTCCATTCTGCTAGCATCCCGGCCGATTGTGGGAATCAAGATTAGGCCTCTACAAGTGAACCCTCCTCACGCTTTTCAAATTCGCAAACTCAAGATTCCGATAAGAATCATGCCATGCTCACGTTTCACCCGTTTTACCAAGTCGCCCCGTCGCTATATGCGCCATGGCAGCCGACATCCTCCCAAAGCCATCTTCACGTACAGAAGTTTCATCGCATAACTGCTTACTACGAGTGAGATGCTCAGTCCAAGGGGCATCGCGAAATACCTTCTTCTCGTTTGACTTTGGCCAAGTGCTCTAGGATTGGATATGCGACGTCGCTAGTCCAGAATAGGGAATTGCCGTCTAAGGATCTGACTCTCAGGATGCGGATGATCGACGGAGGGGGATGTGCCGTATGGGAATGTGGACGCTGCGAATTCCAGAGCAACTAGCATGCGAGGAGAAACCCTGGCAGGTGAAAAGTTGATTTAGACATTGTAATTCGATAACTGTTCTATGCAATTACCTTGTGGTTGATGCAGTGGTTCAGAGACCGCGGTCCTGCATACGACGAAATGGTGGACTCGGACAAAGACAGGAAACTTCGAAGAATCGCATCGTCGTCAGGAGCGACCCCGAACATCATTGTAAGTTCCTTGCGAATAATTATGCCGAAATTCAAACTCACAGTAAGATAGGGGCACGTAGAAGAGGGCGCTAGCGTATACTCGACGACCAGTATTGAGAAAGAGTACCTTTATGGTAAGTAAGCAGCCAGTCCTCAGTGAGGTCTCTTCCTCACAAATGTAGGGCTTTTATGGGTGAACGCTTGAGCGATTGCAGAAATCTTATACCCGTATTCCCAGCGAAGAGGGGGAAACATGTTTGAAGGACTCGAGTTGCGCACATGCGCTGATGAACGACACAGACGGTCCTGTTAATGTGACCTTGACGATAATCTACTCATCGCCGTCGTTCATCGTTAGGAAGAGAGCGGGGTGGATATGTTCTGAGCCTATGTGAAGAGGTATCGCGCCTACACTGTTAGCTCATGCCGTCTGCAATTCTACAGCCACGTATGTACTCCACTGGTGAATGTACACTGCCAAATTGTTGCCATGTCACCGCTAGGTGTGACCCGATTTATGTCAGGAACAGTGTCCTACCCGAACAATCACTGCATACCACCTGGAATTCGGGTCCTCATCGCTCTAATAGGATACTGGTACCAGG